AGGCCAACACTCTTACAACACGCTATGCCTTGACAAGGCACTTTTGTATAACGATACAAAAGGAGAACTGACCTTAATCTACTATTTTATCTACGTTAATAAAAACCAAAAACCTTGCCTGATTGACCTCTACATTGCGATCCTATGGTATGGTCTGATTCCTCATCCTTACCCGATAAGGCGCAGTATCACTGTAACGGGGCACTTTGAAGCTTGTACTGGTGACAGTACAAGCTACTTATTCTGATCACAGAATAAGGAGGTGCCTCGGAACTTCACGTACACTCGTACGTGCAGAGGAAGACGGTAAGAAGAAGCGAGTACTTGGTTAAAGTAAAAAGGAGTAGAACAGTATTTATAATAGTTAATGTCTGCAATAAATCACTATTTATCTTCATCTAACTATGTCTAAATACAAATGTGCATATCAACTATCTGCTCACCACTCATTGCGTGCGTCTGTCGTGGCGCGTCTTCGTTGGTTGATATAATGGCCTATATCAACCAATTAGGAACTACTCGTAAGTGCTACAGAATATTCGTCCTTATGACAATATTCTGAGAATATAACTCTTGTAGTTATATTCTATTAACAATTTCTTATAAATTGTTATGTAACGATTCACCCCGTTACATCACCCCCCCCTTAACCATCAGTCACTTTAGTGACTGATTGACTAAATGGATACTCGTCCCAAATCATTTGGGACAGGGTTCGCACTTGTTGGTCCGAGTCCACTTTCCAATAATTCATCGCATGGTTAACAAGCCCATGCGATGCGCGAGCAAGGCCGCCGAGATCGCGTCTGCACGTCTCTGTGCGGACGCCGAAGCAGAAACAACAGCAACTGATGTCCCATCGGTTGCTGAAGCGACTCAGCCTGTATCACTTGGTGATGCAGGCGCTGGTCATGAAGACACTCGTGTCTTCACAGAGTACGAGCTCGGTGTCTCGTACTCTCCTGATACGGATGACGGATCCGTATCGACGGCGATTGAATCTAAGCCGCCTGCCAAGCGTGGCATGGACGATGCTTTGCGTCGCAGCATCTTTGGTTCATCTGATGAATCAGATGAACCATCGCCGAAGCGAAGGCGCTCGAGGTCGCGAGACTCGGGCGCTAACAGTGGTGTCGGTTCTGCTATGGACACCACTTCGCAACGAGGTGCCAGTCCTTCAGTCGGCACATCGCAGGAAGAGCGGGATCGCAATGTCTTGCGTCTCGCTCCCGAGAAGAAGGCATGGATGCCTCCAAAATCTGTCATGGATCACTTGTCGGCGACGACGAGTGATCGTTATCGAACACGGTTGTTCGATTCGTCAAGGATCCATCACCTTGACCCCAGCGTGAAGAGCTATCGCGCTGAGAATGAATTCTTCATCGATGCTTTCTTTAGACATCGATGGTACAGTGGGAATCACAAGCGTGATGGTTTCCCACTGCTTCAAGCGTGGAACGCCTACATCCATAACCTTGAGGATGTAGGTCGTGACGCTTGGAACGACAAACTTATCAAAGCTCGAGATAAGTTTGAAAAGCGAACCCCGACAGGTGCACGCTACAAGCTGCATCGTCTGTCAAGGGAGAAAGGATTACTCTACCTCTCATGGGGAGACTCGTGCCCATGTTGTGTGAACAACTCTGCACGAGCACCTAAGGAGGCTTACCTCCTTACCAGCCCGTGGTGGCGCGTACGTATCTCTACTGAGATGTACGAAGGGATTGACAACCTGAAATCCCTTTACGACCGTGCCGGGAAGACTTTCTCCGGCGGTCCTTCTGTAGCACAGGATGTGCCCCGTCGTACTGCTCAACCAGACCCAGTACGTCAATCGTCAGTTGGGAGCGGGGCTCCCAAGTATCCCAGGACGGGGGATAGCCGCGCCACCGGACGAGGTAACTCGTCCGACGTCCGTTCACGTCGCGGTGGTTCAACAGCTGCTCAACTAGATAGCGCTGGCCACCGCGAGAGTCCTCTAATGGAGGTGGAGGAGGAGGAAAGACGCTCTCCACACGATCATGGGGATCCGTGTGTTCCCGAGAGCTTCTTTGATCGCGTAGCGCAAGGGTTACGCGACGATCTCGAACGTGAGCGGAATAGGCGTCTCCAAATGGCGGACACTGCCTCGAAGCATCGAGATGAGTTTGCCTTTGCTCAGCTTGAGAACGAGAGATCTCTGACATCTCTTCGTGACGAGCTAAGGGTAGCTCGTGGGATTGTTGATCGGCCTTGGGATGAGAAAGCTGCTCTTCAGACCCTTGTCGATGCTTACCATCGGGAGCACAAGGCTCTCTGCGAGATGCTTGAGCGCAAGGGCGTTCTTCATCGGAAGAAGCAGCGTACTGATGGTACGGCTTAAGCCGACCAACGTAAAACGTGGGATGCGTTCGCATCTTACGTGGCAACTCGATCGTGTATGCATTGCCTAGGCGGTGCAATACACGAAATGGGCCGATGTACTTGGGTAGTAGTTTACTGCTACCCAAGTTAGTCACTACATGCTTTGGTAGATTAACCGTAGACAGTAGGACTAAGTCACCTTTATTAAATAAAAGAGTGTTTACCCTTCCATTCTTGTCAGCGTTTTTCTTTTGCTTATCCACCGCTTCGGCGATGGAGTCTTGCACAAAACGGACTACCGTTTCACGAGCCAGTAAGAACTCATCTGATGACTCGTTAGCTTCAGTGCGCTGTGAGAGCACTGCAGCAACATCAACCTTTTCTTCAGTGAGGGCTTCCGCACTCTCACTGGCATCATCTTCTTCGATATCGATGTTATCGATATCGGCATCAAACGCAATGACCTCTTCGTCAGAGCGTGATGAGCGTGAACCAAATCGGTTTTTGCTCGCGCGAGTCCCTCCCCCCCTTAAACCAGAGTTACACTCTAGTAAGGTGGGTACATACGGATGGCGCAAGCCATTCACGTAAAACGGTGTATGTGTCGTGGACGCATGCACCGAGTTGTTAATGGCAAACTCTACCATTGGCAAAAACTCACTCCAACTCTTAATAGGAGTGTATGTATCCTCGAATTTTCTCTTCAAGGACACGATTGGCACGTTCCGTCTGACCATCTGACTCTGGATGATCAGATGTTGACATCTTCAAGCGCGTTCCGAGTGATTTGAACACGGAACGCCAGAAATCAGCAGTGAATCGTGGATCTCTGTCTGATACGAGTTCACGGGGCAGCCCATGAAGTCGGAAGATGGTGTCAATAAAGACACAAGCACAGCCACTTGCCGTAATTGTCTCTGGTACAGCCACAAGGTGTACCATTTTGCTGAATCTGTCAACAAATACGAGAATACCCGTATTCCCGCGTGCGTCTTTGGGTAACCCGAAGACGAAATCCATTGAGATGGATTCCCAGCACTCAGCCGGAACCGGTAGAGGCTGTAAAGGTGCACGCAGTGAAGGACTTGACTTCACTCGTTGACAGACTTCTTATGCGCGAACATACTTGCGCACAAAATGATACTGGCGGGGCCAGTAAAAGTCTCGACTCACCGTGAGATATGTCTTCTCACGGCCACGATGTCCTCCTATAGGAGCATCGTGATACTCGAACATGATCCGCAAACGCAGATCAGTATCATCTGAAATGACAACACGTGGTGTGTCACCAGTAACGGCTGTATAATACAGTAAACCGTTGCAAGTAGTGTATCGATCTGATGCAGATCGATACGCAGGCGACAATCGTTTCAACGATTCTCGAGATGGCTGTGAGAGATGTGTCAACAACTTCACAATCTCACCATCTTGGGCATACGCCCGCCTCACATCATCATACAACGTTGTAGATGGAACTGAGGACGTCATAACCGCAACAGTGACTGTCTCACTGTTGGGTTTCGCGACTGGTTCAAAGTCGGGACGACGTGAGAGTGCACCAGCAACGACATTAAGTCGTCCTGGTGTGTACTCTACCGTTAAGTTGTATTCTGAAAAGAATGACAACCACCGCGCCATTCGTTGTGAAAGGTGCGGGCTGTTCACTCACTGCCGTGCGCAATGACGCATGGTCAGTGTAAACTATGAAGGGTCTATCTTCTAATAGATAGACTCTGAACTTCGCGAGTGCATACTTCATGGCAACGAGTTCCTTGTCATGCAATGGATAGCTCCGCTCAGCCGGTTGCAGCTGACGCGACTGATAGCAGACGACGCGTTCAACGCCTTCAAGATCGTACTGCATTAATGCACAGCCGATTGCGAAATCGCTGGCATCACAGACCACATAAAATGGCCTGTCCTGATCGGCTATTGCTAGGACTGGGGATTGTATCAAGCTCTGCTTGATACCCTCAAAGGAGCGTGACATTCAGCGTTCCATAACCACCTCTCGTTCTTTTTCAATAAACGAGAGAGATGCACAGTCATCTCGGCGTAATTGCATGAATACTTATGCAAATACGCAGCTAGCCCAAGGAATTTTCGAAGACCTTTGACGTCAACCGGCACAGGCCAGTCGGTGATCGCCTTGATCTTTTCGAGATCAGGAATTACACCGTTATTACCAACGATGCACCCAAGAAGTGGTATTTTGCTTGCTGCAAATATACACTTCTTGAGGTTTGCATACAATTGATGCTTTCGCATGATTGTAAGAACCTGTCGGATGTGGTACCTGTGAACCTCAACGTCCGACTTTCCATCCATAGCTCGACTATGGATGAATACGTCATCGAAATAACTCGGCGCGAATTCTCGTACTGGTCTCAACAGATGTGTATCACATCTGTTGAACGTGGCAGGGGCATTACTAAGCCCTTGTGGTATTACTAGCCATTCCCAGAGCATGCCGCTAGGCGTGCTCACTGCGGTATAGGGTATATCCCGTTCTCGCATAAGGATATGATAGAAGCCATCCATCAAATCCATGGACGAAAAGATGGTACTCTTTGACATACCATCAATGATTACGTCCTTCCTCGGTATCGGCGTCTGAGCCGGTACCGTTGCAGCATTCAACTTGTTATATGCATGCACTATCCGCCACCCTCCTGTTGCTTTTCGCACACAGAAGGTCGGAGAGCTATGTGGGAAGTTGATTCCCTCACATGACCAACGGCTAAGCGATCGGCAAAGAACTTGTCGATCGCAAGTACTTGTTCACGAGGCAGTGGCCACTGCTTCATGACACAGTACTTCGAGCCTGGTTTAAGCTCGACCTCGTGTCGAATACCTTTATCCTTCGGTGATTCGCACGGAACAGTTTCAGGGAATACATCCTTGAATTCAACCAAATCTTCATAGAGAGGATTTGTCTTGAGCGATTCCCACGATTGGGAGTCATATCGCTCAGTTCGTGTCTTTTCATCTAGGACACTCTCGTCCATAGATGAACTACTGAGAACTCTCTCGTTCTCAGTAAACATTGTTGCTGACCTTATGTCGGCTACACACTCGTCGTCAGCGACGAGTATGCAGATCTGCTTGACTTTGCCACTACGCAGATCACGCAAGAACCTTTTATGATCGAGCGTTGGCAACTGAGTGATCTCCGAAGTCAACTTCGGAGGCGCAATCAGACCAAGTGTATAAGCGCCTACACTTGATCCGTTATTGACTATGACATTAAATGTCTCTGCCATTTCCTGGGGACTTATTCCCTCAGGCTTCGAAGGACTTATTCCTTCGGCTTCCCGGGGACTTATTCCCGCGGGTTTCGGGGAACTTATTTCCGCCGTATTTGTAATATTGGGACTTATTCCCTTTACTTCCTCTAGCTGGGGTTGCGCAACCACAGCGAGATCCTCTACGAAAGACTCTCCGGTCGATCTAGGATTATCGTTTCGCTTAACCTGAGCGATCCATGGTTTCTCTTCTAGATGTTCCCCGCTAGGGATACATCTTTGTCCCGGTCCACTCGACTTATTCGAGTGGTGGACCTTCGGCGCAGCCTGTGTTTCCTCACAGCCGCCGGAACTTTGCTCCGAAGTATAACCGTTTGGTACACTAAGGTTTTGTGCAGTCGTACTAACGACCGTACCACAAGTGAGGCCATCGCACTCACTCGTAGTACATCCACACTCTTGTGAACGCTCCAAAACGTTCATCCGATGGCCGTCTGATGAACAAGCGGCAGGCATCGTTACTGTTCGATGTTGCCAGTTTACTCGTGTTTCGTACCTTCTGAGCCACGGTATTCCAAGGATGACATCAAAGTTGTCATCCAAATCCAATACGATAAAGTCATCGTCATGTTGGGTATCTTCTAGCGTATAGTGGATGCTCACTATACGCTTCATGACGGATGCGCCTGTCGCAAGACGTACCGTCATCCTCGTAGGAGGTGTGTCACATTCACTGAACTTAAAGTGACCATCTTCTAGCGATTGGCGTCGCACAAAATTGTTGGACGCCCCACAATCGACTAGAGCTCGAAGGGACAACTTATTTGTCACTTCTAGTTTCAAGGTAATGAGTGAGATCTCATTACCTAGAGCAGCAACGCACAACGTTTGTGTGTTGGGAGCAACCTTCATCAAGAGGCCCACAAATTCTCTTGACGTTGCTGGACCAGTAGGGTGCTCCGCACCTACTGATCCTGTCCGTTTTTTGACGGTCCATCCCGTTGTTGCGTCTTTGCACCAGCAGCGGACCCTCTTCCCTGCCCCTTTCTCATGGGTGGACGGTCACTACGCCCAGTGTTGCGAGACACTGGACGAGGGGCACTACACTCGTAAGCGTAGTGTCCTGTCTTTTGACATCTGTTGCATCTCTGCAACTTCTTGTAGCCTGTAGAGCGAGCCTTCTCGCTCTCTACATAATAGAGTTCCATCGGCTCTGGACCTCCGTTGTCATATCGTCTCGGTTGACGATACGATGTCGAGCTGGCGCGAGCCTGTCTCAGACTGAAGTCTTCCTGTTCCTCAATGGAAATGGCTTGTTCTAGTGAATCTAGTTCAAGTCGGAACAGGTGAGTCTTGACGGGACCATCCGCAAGACCCTGCATGAACACCGAAACCAACGTGTGTTTCATCCACTGGATTGGAACTTGTACAACTCGTAAGATGTCGTTTATGTTGAGCGTAAGCGTGCACATCACGCTTACCCTGCTTGAGCTTCAAGAGTTCGGTTCGAGCTCTGAACTCAGCTCTAGGCGGTTCAAACGTTTGTCTGAGCCGCGACTTGAAGACTTCCAACGACCCAAACGCATATGGGTCGTGCAACTTGAGTCCCAAAGCCCAAGTCTTAGCACGTCCTGTCAGATTTGATCGGGCAAATGCAACTTGCACTTCCCCTGTCGTCGATGCGACGCGCTCTTATGGCGTCGTCTAATCCGACGAACCATCTCAGGAGGGAGTCCTCTTCGACTCCCCTATACTTGGAGATGTCAATCTTCAAGGTTTCGGGTCGACGCGAATGCATCGACCCACCAGCAGCAGCCTGCTGCTGTCTCAACAGTTCAAACTGTTGAGCACCCTGTTCTCTCAACAACTCTGCTTGTTGAGAACCTTGTTGGTGAAGCAAGGCTACTTTCTCGCGTTCAGCGTCAAGTTCATTTTGAATGAACTTGGCGATAGTAGCATGTTGGGCATCTCTATTGAGAGCCTCTAGCATGACGCTGACAGCATGGATGCCCATGGTCGAACCCGTTCGTTCAACCGCATCCCATTCGACGTCGCTCAAATGGGAGTAGCCGTCACGCGTAGCGTGAAAGCTTTGGTCATCTTCATCATCCAACATATTCATGTTGGATGTGAACGCGGTCCTTGGACGGACTACGAAGTGCTACCAGGTGTAACGGGGCACCCTGAAGCTTGTACTGGTGACAGTACAAGCTACTTATTCTGATGACAGAATAAGGCGGTGCCTCGTAACTTCACGTACACTCGTACGTGCAGAGGAAGACGGTAAGAAGAAGCGAGTACTTGGTTAAAGTAAAAAGTAGAACTGTATTTAGTATATTTAATGTCTGCAATAAACCCCCTGTTTATCCTCATCTAACTATGTCTAAATACAAATGTGTAAATCAAATATCTGCTCACCACTCATTGCGTGCGTCTGTCGTGGCGCGTCTACGTTGGTTGATATAATGGCCTATATCAACCAATTAGGAACTACTCGTAAGTGCTATAGTATATTCGTCCTTGTGACAATATTCTGAGAATATAACTCTTGTAGTTATATTCCATTAACAATTTCTTATAAATTGTTATGTAACGATTCACCCCGCTACAATCACCGTAAGCACGTGGTACCAAGACTGTACCACTCAGATCCACCGATCTTTACCTGGTGTGCACGCACAACATAACCGGTTCAAATTACCGCGTGTAATCCCGTTACATATTTAGTCTTCTTTTAAATAGATCGAAATACAAACATGAAGTGTAACAACATGCTCACCACCCATTGCGTTCTTCTGTCGTATATTTTAGTTTTTGGTTGATAGTACTAATCAACATCGATCGGCTGATGAGCAGTATATTACTTTATCTACATATTATTGCTTGTTAAGCCAATATTATGAGAATATGGTATTTGTCCTTACATCACTTTCATACTTTATATTTACCTCATGACAAATATCACGTAACGGAGGCACCCCCTTAGACTCGAAGTAAGCATTTTACCTGCTCCCTATAACTTCTCGCTACTGCTACAAATATGAGTGCAAATACGACAGCAGGGGCCCGGCAGGTGACAATGTGCAAAATTGCCAATTTCTTTCGCTTTGGGATAGCGGTTGTTTACAGTCGTAATGGGCATATGGGAAATTATTTAGAAACGGTTGCGTAGAAACTCGAATGACAAGAATTACTGGATTCTTACTGGCTAAATAGACCCTGTAGCATGTGGTTGTGCCGTAAAAAAATTGCAAAAGATCTTCCGCACACAATCCCAACACTTCGATGGCTTACAAGTCCGACGATGGCGCTTCGGATCCTCTGCTTGGAGGTTTCTCCGACTCATCGACTTCCACCAATGTGCCCTACGACCGCACCTTGGAAATGTCTGTCGACGGAGAAGATATATGCGCGCCAAAAAAGCGAAATTTAGGGGACTCCTACTTGAAGCAGCTCGAATACACGCCGCTAATTTTCAAGGTAATACAAACCGCATGTAATGTCACCCACGACTAACCCTTTTTTTATCATTTAGAAGTAGTGTTGAAGAACATGTTGATACTGACTTGTTACATTGCAGCAGAAAATGAAAAGGATTGGTAGTTTTATCGCTTCAATGTCACCAATGCGTCCCCGCAGGGTACGTCACACATCCCGCATGATGTAGAGTCGCACCTCGAAGCTCACTTTTTGGTGCATGGTACCTGCAACCTCGATTTAGCCTCGTGATGACGACCCTTTGGGGGACGTCTTTCCCTATCATCAATCGATCATTCCGTCAAAAGGATCCATTCGCGGCTCGGTGTTCAATTTGGCTGGCGCAACTCTCGGTGCAGGAGCACTGTCGTTGCCGTACGCAGTTGCAGTTTCCGGCTTAGGTTTTGCCGTGGCACAGCTTGTATTGGCAGCGATCCTGACGGTGTACACAATTCGACTACTAATTCGTGCAGAGGACATTACCAAGTGCGAAAGTGATGCGCTGTACTTTCTAGTAGGTGAATGGAATTAATGCATAAAGAACTCACGTTTGCTGTGGTTTGACTGTCACAGACTGAAGTCTTACGAGGATCTGTCCATGCATTGCTTCGGGTCAAAGGTCGCCCAGATAGCTACATATTACTGCTCAGAAACCAAGTTTCTCTACAGATTTCTCACTTGTTTTGTGCTCGCGATAGGTTGCAATTTTCGTGGAGATCAACATCCTTATTTTCTGTTTCGGCATTTCGGTTGCCTATCTCGTGACGCTGGGCGACATAATCACTCCACTGAGCGAGCTTGTTTTTGGGCCGCACAGCATGTTCACGCAGCGGTGGATGCTCATGACAATATCGTGTGGGACGATCATGCTACCACTATCTTTACTGAAAGACATAAGCAGTCTGCAATTCTCGTCAATACTGGGAGTGTTCAGTATTATTTTTCTTGTTGTGGCAGTTGCTATCCGGTCAATTATGTATGCAAGTGCCCATGGGATACCGGATGACGTCAGCTGGACGATTGATACAAGTCGTGGCCCGGACTTCATGCTTAGCGTGCCTATTGTCATGTTCGCATTCACGTGTCAGGTACGAAACGAATGAGATACACATTGAATGACTCAGTGTCTAGTGATAAATGACTCGTCTTCATTAACACGTAGGTCAACGTCTTCTCAATTTATACGGAGCTACAGCGCCCGTGTATCCGCCGTATGAACAAGGTGGTGGACCGTGCAACGCTTGTATCATTTTTGGTTTACCTGTCGATCGGTGTGGTGGCATATCTGGCCTTCGGATCTCAGCTTGTGGATCCGAAATACAAGGGGAACATCCTTCTAAGTTTTCCCCTGAATGACACGTTGATCGCGATCAGTCGAGCCGCCATCACATTTACTGTGGCTGTGGCATTCCCGCTGAATATTTTTCCCTGCCGCTTCACCATCGACATGATGTTTTTCGCTAACTCGGAGGACTCGTGGTCGCGTCACGTGGCCGTGACAAGTAGTCTTGTGCTACTGGCGCTGGTGCTGGCCGTCTTTTGTCCTGGCATCAACGTGATTTTTGGCATCATCGGCGGAACTTGCTCCTCTGTCGTCTGTTTCTGCCTCCCGGCCGCATTCGTTTTAAAGCTTGAGGATGGTCCCCTGCTTGGTCCCAAGAAGGTTGGTCCAGTGCTGTTGCTCATCGGCGCGATCGCGATCGGGTTTACGGGAACGGGTGTGACGGTGCTGTCTAGCCTGCTCGTGCCGCCGTCGTAATCTAGTTACGTAACGTCCGAGTCATGGTGTATGTCAAGAAAAATTGTTAGTCGGTTGCTCATTCTAAATCGGGCACGTTCGTCGAACAAAAGCGTCGCACTGCGCTTTGAAGCTGACGGTCGCAAAACAACAACTCGAAGCCGTATTTCTTGCACTATATGAAAGCATAGTTCTTTTTAGGACGGGAAGGGACATATAACCGACCATGGCGCAGTAGAACGTGGGAGCAACATGAAATCGCGGTAACCTTTCGCCAACATGAAATCGCGGTAACCTTTCGCCAACATGATCGCACTGACGAGTTGCTACCGCCAAAAATGGAGCGATATGAAACAGGCTTACGTCCTTTTTCAGTACTGCCCAGAAATTCAAAGCTAGTGATAACTGATTCTTTTTATGCACGAAGCCATTATTATAAACCAAATTTGTCAATTCGCCGGCGGCGACGATGCTTGCTTGCACGTTAAAACGTTTCACGTTGAGTGCGCTGCAATGGACTCTCCCGATGCTACACGCTGCTTCGCGCTTCTAATATCTACGCTAGTCAAATCTGGCTAAAAACGTTAATACTATCGCTTCTCCCAATGCACCCGATGGCTGGCGTACCAACTCAACACGGAGCGCGTGTCGGTGCCTTGTACTAACAGCCTTGAGGTTGTGTAACGCAGTGTGAAATTCGCTGAGATTCTTAAAATCACTACAAAGCACCGTCACCACACTTAATAAGCGACGGCCCGTTTGAAGTGCAAGAACGTGGTAATAATCGGTTTGGGGATGTCGCTCTTTGTAGCTCCCTCCAGTCGTCAACTATCGTACTGGCAGATGGGGTCATGCCTATTTCACATTTGATTGCGTCACAATAAGCGGATTCTTTCGTACTGTGTGCCCTTGAATAATTAAGGGACGATGCAACATGGACACTAGCGTGCTACTCTTAAAGAGCCGTGGTAGTACTGGCGAAATAATTATTGCAAGTTTCTGTACTTCCAAATTGAAGCTGGTTCACCGAAGCATTTGGCTGCGTTCTCAGCCGCCGCTTTTCACTTACGTATCAACATGAGCTATTTTATCTTAAGTACAAGCGACATGGGACCACTCATTACCGTGAAGGTTTTGGTGTGTCTGCAAACTAAATGCTATACGCTATGACACGGCAAGTCTTATGAACGGGATTTTTGATAGCTGACTTCGTGTCATATCTTACTTTGAAGCGGGAAGATTGTAGCTTGCACGACTTACGCAAAGTAACTTTCATGCGATTTAATGTTCATATCTGACGATTTTTACATGGAATCGAGGCGAACTATTGCTTAAATTATACTAAAATGTGTTTTGGATTGGTCTAGCGAGACTGTTACAAGATTATTATCTCGATAATCATTTCGATTTACTTCTGTCATAAAGCCACATTGAGCTGCTTGTGGTTTTGGATTAACTTGTGGTCACATCATCGACTCGAACTTTCACTGCAGTCGCAAAAATGACAACCAACACACACATACACTATTTGATGTAGACGACAACACTCGGTTTATTGACGCCCCAAATAATGTCATACAATGACGAAAGATGGCTACCCGGCATGTACGTCTTTCTGATAGAAAGGGTACAATAGTACACGAAACGCCAATTCTGCAGACTGCTGAAAGAAGGGCCATGAAAGGGTACAATAGTACACGAAACGCCAATTCTGCAGACTGCTGAAAGAAGGGCCACTAAAAGAATTACAGGACGATGTTTGCTGCCAATATTTTACTTCGTTACTCAGTTGGATCTACCGAAAATAAACACGCTAGCAGCAATTCGAGATGTTTCAATATGTAGGTCGCTAGCTTTGCCGGCTGAGCAATACACAATGGAAAAAGAAAAGTGGTGTTAAAGTCTTTAAAAGTGACGTAGCTGACAACGCAGAAGGTCGTCCGTAAAAGGTAGGGCGAGTCACTTTCCAGTGCTATCTGAGTTGTTCTGCAAGGTAGAGTCCACGAGCTTGTCCAACATGTACATAAAGGCTGGATTCTCCTTGACCCAGATGATAAATCTGGTTGCTTGAGAGGGTGTCAGAATCTGTTGCAACTGCGCCACTTGAGTCTCCAGTGCCGTGTTCTTTTCATCGGTCACGTCTTTCAGTTTCTTCACAATGCTTAAGGCGTGGTTCAGATCGTCGCGCACTTTTTTTATTGCAGCTCGGCGCTCCAAGATCTGCCTTTGCTGATCTTCCGACACCTCCAGCTCGTCAGCCAAGATACCCCAAAGACTCATGGTGGCTGAAGCTGATTCAGGCGCAGACATCGGGTCTTCTTTTATCACATGATCCCGCTTTAGCATATCCACACCTTGTTCTACGGAATACAGACACAGCTTCGTCACTTGCGTGGGAAGGATCAGCTCCCGAATGCGTGACAGATGAAAGTGCAGCTTCTCGCGTCGTTTGGGTCCATAATCTGAGTATGTCACCTTGTACATGTTCAAAAACTGAGCAATCTCTTGTTCGTTTGCGTTCCGTTGTAGCATTTCCCGCATCTGCTCCTTAATCTGCTGCTTCTCGCGCTGCTCGCTTAAGATTGCCTCTTTTCCGATCTTTAGACGCATTTTCAAGTCTATATTTTCCGCTTCTAGTCGGCGCAAGCGAACCTCGTTCTGCTCTTGCTGCCTCAGCTTGCGCTTGCGAAACTCTCTGACCGACACAAGATTTTTGACCCGACGAAGCTGCTTCTTTTCAAAATCGCCGTCAGGGTCAGAGTCTGCGACATTCGGTGAAGCTGATTTGCATAACTGTCTGTTCTGTGGTCGTTTACATTGAGCGACGTGCGAAGCGGTCTTTCCTTCAAAGCTTCGTGTGCTATCAACAACCTCTGCATTTGATGCAGTTGTACTGCTTCGTTGCTTCTTCCAAGTAGTCGGTACGGCTGACTTGGCAGTGGTGCTCCTTCTACCATCTCGTTCGTTCTGTCTCTTTTTCTGCACTTCCTTGTCGTGCTTGTTCTCAGTCTCTTCGCAGCTGCCGCCCGCGACCAGACGAGCACTACCACCACTTTCCACAGAATTTGGTGCAATCAACATCCCATCAACAGATGAAATAGGTGATATGTAGCGCTTGTCGAGGTTCACTGCCAAAATTTGAACGTTAGACTGCTCAACGTCGAGCTTCTGGGTGACGCCCGGATCCCCAGCTGCCGATATAGCATTAGCTGCACCAGTTCTATGTACTTTAGTGATCGTGGGAGGCGCCAGCGCCGACGTTATCATGTGGTCCATCTCGACATCGTCCAGCGGCAGCAGTTCGAGACCCCCGTTGGTGCTGCCAGCCACTCCAACACTCGAGGTGGCGGCTCCCGTCGTGTTGTTCCGCAACAGCCACCCAAAGGTGTCCTCCTGGTTGTCCTCAAAAATACTCCAGTCGACGCCACTCATGGTCACCGACCGGTTATGCTTGCCGCCGGCAGTCGTGTCTGGCTGGTCGACACTCATAAGTCAAGTCGTGACAAAGCCACTGTCACGCCAATCTGAGTCGATAGGTGGAATCAGATTTTTTGTGGCGAGGTGCAAAATTTGACCAACCAGATCGACCTTCCAATGAAAGCCAACTTTTGCCAACGCGCGGCGATTTGTGCTTAAATGAAGTCAAGAATTTCGCCAAGTAGATTCTTTTCTAGTATCTTTTTAGCCAATAAAACGGAGCTCTTTGGTGGCAAAATCGTTACCGGAAGACGAGCAATACTTTCCTCCCTCTGATAACTTATAGCCTCAGTAAACACCACTTCTTGTCAGATTAACTGGCATCGAGCATTCATAGTAGTAAATTGATTAATTATAGGAGTTGTCCACGGCATCCCACCGAAATCTTAGGCACCCCAACAAATGATTATAACTAAGAATGTAGGGGATGTTAAAGGCACCCCACATTGGTGAACGGCATCCCACCAAGAGTAAAAATTAATATTGTAAATTTTTACATTAATTTAGGTAACTGTTAAATGCACGCTTTAACATTGTAAAATGGATTCCTATTAAACAAAGCCTTTTTTGGCTAATGTAGCCAAACACAGACTACTATCATTGGACACATTATTCAACAAAAGCCCATTTCTGATCGACCTCGGCTCAGTTTTGCTGCCAGGAGAGTTAAAAATTAAAAATGTCGCAGAGCAGATCACAGGTAATCTTGACAGCAGCAGATCACAGGTAATCTTGAATTTTTATACAGGGTATGACTCTATAGAACAGACCCATGACGCCTACGAGAATTTTCGTGTTCCGTAAATGCTTTTACTCCCAGCCGAGAGTACCGTTACATTCGCATGATCAACTGGAGGCTGCAAGTAATGGTTGAAGTGCGATCGTGGCGTAACACCACGTGAGTTTTAACTGAAAATGCAAGCGTAAATGGACCACAAAGACACATGACTGTAAGATCCATCTATGTGCTTGGGTCAAAAATGATAACTGGAAAATCAATGTTACAAATAGTGAGATCAATCATCCACCCACACTTCATATAGCAGATCATGCTGTCGGACGACGCTTTACAAATGAAAAACGCTAGTTGTGGAACGGAATCCTAAGGCAGGGTGTCATCGAGAGCGACTATGAACGCTTGAGGCTTTAAATTCTTATTTGCCTCGACTTCTTTTACTGTCTCCACTTTTCGTTGTTAGTTAGCTTCTTTTGTAGCATCTACCATCTTTTCCTCTCAACGGTAATAAGAAGGAAAGATCGGCAAATTTATCTAATAAATTTTACGAGTCCGCTTGCCATGTAATTGACGAAAAAACTATAGCCTGATTGACAAGGCTGACAAGACCACCCTAATCTATCAAAGGGCGTGCATTTAGCAAAAACTATTATTTGTGTTTTTTCAAAAGGCGTTCATTTAGTAACTTTGTGGCGTGCATAAAACTATTTTCATATTTTATATCAATGCAATTACATAGTGTCATTCCACACAAACGTTCACAATTTCGATCGATTGTTTCGCTTACACTTTATACCACACGCAGTCTATCTATCCTTTCTGGTAGTGCAACGCAATGTCATGAATTATAGGGAATCTTAAACACGCACCAGGTTTTCTTAGAACACCTACCACACCGAATACCAATTATTTCAAGTTTTGATACGTTCACGAAAAAGAGTGTCTGATTGGTTGAATTTGAGCGTCATCTTTTTTAGACTTAATGTAAATCTCATCTCAGAGACTGCAACTTACCTTTCATGTCCATGCGCGCTATATTTAACGTATGTAGGTGCCATGATCACGTCTTAAAAAATACTCGTTTACCATGGAAAGATTACCAGTGCTGGATGCTATCCACAACACATTAAAGCAACGACTACAAGCTTTTGAAAAGCACCAGCACGTAAAAGTGTATTGAATGGCTTATTCGTCTTAGCAAATAAGCATCACAAAAGATGACGAGTCAAAAGCGTATGTACATACAATGTTTATAAAGTGATAGATCTCAGCCAGTCAGCACAATTTTTTTGCTAGCGGTGACATACGTGATCCTGATCAAAAACAGAGTCGTCGAAGATTTTTGCATGCCTTAAAAGTTGACGGGATGTCACTAATAAATTCTCAAAAATCCTTTCAGTGATTTATTGGCATCCTGGTCGTACTCACAACCGTATCAGGTCTCCAAGACGAGCAGCCGTGGAGAGATTTCAGGGTGTACAGATTAGTGTCCGAGCTCGCAAAACAAAGATTGAAGTTCAATAGGTCCTTAGTTCACAGCTAGCTATATGCTAGTCTAAGCCTCTTGATATACTACATGCACTGGATTCTTTGCCTGATTTACATGATGATGGCATTATTTAACTACACAGACCTTGTCCGTCGTGAGCTGGACCATAGTGCTCTACAACAATAGTGTATCAAAGGATGTATTTTACTCCATATGTGAAGTTCACAATAAGTACAAATGATTAATAAAGCGAAATTTGAGTAAGATTCATCACTATTTAGACATGTGAAGGCCACGCTTTATACTTTCAGGCGTCAAATTTGTAGTTTTTTTGTCAGACTGGCATGACGTCAACCAGCACCTTTTTAAAGGGACGACGAAGGCTTCAGAATCTCGAACAGTTTACACGCCCGTGGTAGTAAGAAGATTAAAAAGTACGTAATATCAAAGGTTCTACGATAGGCTCTGAACAGCGGGTCGATTTTGTTGGTCGTCATGAATTTAAAGAAGTTTGCGTCGATTGTCTTCACGTTATTCGACACGTCCAACTATCTCCGTTGTTGAAAGTGCTATCGAGATGCTTAACTATCTTCTCGGTAATATGAATGATTGATGTTACCGAAGTTTTAACGAATTTGCGACTGTTTTGATAATTTTTTCATTTCTACCCTCATCGCCTCGCACAATCTCTGCTCTAACGTACGTGTTTTTCACAAAACGAGACGACACTGTTCTTGATGGTCACCAATGCGTCTACTGTAGCCTTTGCTCTGATTTAATGATGCTCGTTGATTACGCTTTTTCATGTCGATATCGACTGTGTAATGTCGCTTCTATATTTAACCTTGAACCCTGATTAGGAGTCTTTAGCATGACCTAGCAAGGCTGTGAATTTTCGAGCCTTCATATCCGTGTCGTCCTCATTGACGCAACAAATAAACCTTCAGCATCATCAGAATGCGGACGCGCAGCTGAACGTTTGTTCCAGTCTCTTGTTTAGTTGGTCAGAAGCGTCAACGTGTGATCATCCAGTAGCTGTCCTATCAAGAGAGAGATCTATGTGCCAAGAGCAGTTTTATAATAGCATTGTTTGAAACCTAAACCAAAAGAATTTGATTCACTTCGTCGCAGTGAGCGATTCCAGCTTGTGAATTTTGGCTGCCATCCTAATCCTACCCATTCAAACTGAGCTCGATCTGAATCTGAATGACAGCATCGACGCTAGAAAGAGGCTATCATATTGGTATCCATGACTTTTACCTTGCGGTCTTTTTGGTGGATGGAACACGGCTTCCAATCTATCCAGATCTATGCTATGCGCTAAATGCACCAATGCGCAATTAATGGGAAGAACGATGTTGCGGAATTTTCGGGGTGCAAACGTTGTCATGCTCAAACGGCCATATGTGCAATCGGACATCAGTCATTTATACCTTAATCTTACTACGATAGTAGAAGCCACGTTGATCCTTTGTATTTTTCTGGAGAGCGCGACTATTTGCGTGACCAATAATGCATGAATCATGACGTCAGCATTCCGAATCAGAGTGACATAGACACCGGTCGTGCTCTTCTTCAATTCTACCTGATTTATAGGTCGACATTACGATTGAGCGTGAGGCGTAAAAGTTCTGGTTTAAAATGCCTTATATGTCAGCAAGTAAGACCCCATTTAAGTGATTGTAATAACTTTGTGATTCGCTTCCGCATCCTTTGAGTTCGTAAAGCGGTTTCACTATGAAAGTTAAAATATCACCGTCATGACGTCCTGAAACAAATCTTATATAAAAACGCTGGACGTAGATAGTATTTAATGCTGCTGCTTATCTTGGCAATTATTATTACTTCTATCGTGATCAAATAACAGGTCAACATCAAGCGCTTGGCTTGACACTACAAAACCCAGATTTCAAAGAGATTACCGACTGCAAGTTAAGCTAGCGATAGCTCCCGCTTGATCTAGAGGGAAACGTCCTTCAGATGCCCATATTTTTGTCTATCACCAGAATGCTGGACAACGTCCTCTGGACTGGCATCTAGAAGATTTTTAATTTAATTTTTGCGTCATATGATAGCTGCCACTATGTGAGAGCGGTGTCGCTTCACGCTTCTGAAAAAATTCCGTCGACATGTCATTTTACTTATGTGTGTTGATTGCGACGGCTTCGTTGCCGCGCGTAGCAAATTACAATAGGTAAATTTGGACTTCTTTACCAGTCTTGAAAGCTCTAACTGACTGATAGGCGCTTACACCTTTAGAATTTGATCGACTTCTAGTATATTATATACTATTGCTTCTTACAGGCTGCATTAAATTTGGCCGGATATATGCAGCTTGGTTTTTCGGTATTGTTCGTCCTCATCAATCATTTCCATTTCGCTATCTCGAGCGCATTGCTCACTTCCATGCTTTCTACAACCTTGTTTCGTTTGTTATGGCGACTATCCTCTGCACGATATTTAGATAGATTGACATCAGAATTTACATCCACGGCATTTTTAGGGAAGCTGGAGCCGTCATGCGGGACAAGGGTAACTGTGGGATACCTAGGTAAAGTTATTTTGGAATTTAAGGGTCACTGGGTCGACGTTCGATGTTCATTACCACCTGTTTAAATACCAGCTACCGAGGATCAAGCTAGCGAGGCCGAAATAGGGGCTGGAGCATCATAAAAGCTCATCAAAGTGGATCTGTAAAGCTACACCATGATAGCTTGATGAAGAAGAAGATTGCTTCAACCATTTCTTGATATTCTTAAGCTACAAGTTAGCTGCGGTATTGTTCCT